ACAAAACACAACTTTGTATTTCACACCACCTGTATGGTCTCAGACACTCCCAGTATATCCCAGTTGCCATATCTGAACATTCTCGTAGACATTGCCAGGCACTCCCCGTTACCTCAGCATGGTTCACTTGCCCCCCGTTTTATCCCAGTTGCTCCCAGTTCCTCTGATTATGTCCCCAGTTGGCTCCCAGCATGGGCCTGGTAGCTCGCAGTAACCCCCAGTCAGGGTCCAATCACACCCACTCTGCTCCCAGTACGATTGTAGCCACTCCCAGTATAATCCCAGTCATTCCCAGCCTGATCCCAGTAGCCTCCAGTGTGATCCCAGTGACTCCCTGTCTCTCCCAGTATATCCCAGTCACCCCCCCTCTGCATGCTCCCAGTCACTCCCACTTTCTCCCAGTTGCTTTCAGCACAATTCCAGTTGCTCACAGCCACTCCCAGTCAATCCCAGCATGATTCCAATCACCCTCAGTGTGATCCCAGTCTAACCCAGCATGGACCCACCTGCTCTCACTGTGATCCCAGCATGATTCCAGTTGTCCCTAGAATAGTCCCAGTGCCTCCCAGCATGGTCCCAGTCACTCCCAGTTGTCCCCAGCATGGTCTCAGCTGTTCCCAGTGTGGTTTCAGTCCCCCCACTGTGGTTACAAACACTCCCAGTTTATCCCACTTGCCCCAGTAAGGCTTTAGTTACCTGAGAATGATCCCAGTCTTTCCCAATTAATCCCAGTTGCCTCCAGCATGATCCCAGTTTCTATCAGTTGCCCAAAGTGTAGTCCCAGTTGCTCCCAGTATGATCCCAGTTGTAGTCTCAGTCTGCTCTGCATGGTTCCAGTTCCTTCCAGCTGGTCCCAGTTGTTCCCAATGTTTCCACACTTTCCTCCCAACATGGGCCCAGTAGCTCCCAGTAACCCCCAGTCAGGATCCATTCACACCCATTGCAATCCCAGTGGCTCCAAGGATAATCCCAGTAACTCCTGCTACAATCCCAGTCACTTTCACTATGATCCCAGTTGCTCCCAGTCACCCCCAGTATGACCCAGTCACTCCCAGATCCTCCCAGTGTTATTCCAGTCATGGCCAGAGTGACTCCCTGTCACTCCCAGTGTGGGCCCAGTTGCTCCCATTCATCTCCAGTATGGTTTCAGTCATGGCCAACACCTTTCCAGTCACTCCTAGTCTGGTTCCAGTAGGATCCCAGTCATTCTCAGGTACTCCCAGTACTCTTCCGGTCACATCAGTGCCAGTGTGATCCCAGTATGACCCCAGCATGGACACAGCTGCTCCCATTATCTCTCAGCATGGTTCCAGTTGCTCCCATTTACCCCTACTATGGTTTCAGTCTCTCCCAGTAAAACCCAGCTGCCCCAGCATGTTCCCAGTCACTCCCAGTTGGCTGGAGTGGCTTCCAGCCTGATCCCAGTTGCTCACAGCCACTCCCAGTCACCCTCAGTGCAGTCCCAGTTGCTGAAATGTGATCCAGTAGGATCCCATTCTCCCCCAGCATGGGCCCAGCTGCTTCCACTGTGATCCCAGTAGGATCCCAATTGCCCCCAGCATGGTTCCAGCTGCTCCCCGTTCCTCCCAGTGTGATGCCAGTAGTACCCAGTTGTCCCTCATATAGTCCCAGTCACTCCCCATATGATCCCAGTCCCACCTAGCATGGTCTCACTCACTCCCAGTTGCGCCCAGTGTGGTTCCAGTTGTTCCCACTGTGGTTCCAGTCATTCCAGTATGGTTCCAGACACTCCCAGTATATCCCAGTTGTCCCCAGCATGTTTGTAGTCATTTCCAGGCACTGCCAGTGGCCCCAGTAAGGTGTTAGTTATCCCAGTATGATCCCCCAGTCATGCCCAGTATATCCCAGTTGCTTCCAGCATGCATCCAGTCCTTCCCAGTTCCTCCAGTTTGCTTGCAGCATGGTCCCAGTTTCTCTCAGCTGCTCCTAGTAGCCCAAAGTGTGATCCCAGTCGCTTCCTTTCAGCCCCAGTATGATCCCAGTAAGCTCCAGTTTGATCCCAGTCACATGCCAGCGCTCCCAGTGTGGTTCCAATATAATCCCAGTTGCTTCCAGTCTCTCCCAGTATGGTCCCAGCTGCCTCCAGCATGGTTCCAGTTGCTTCCTAGATCAGTCCAGTCAGTCCCAGTATGATGCCATTTGCTCCCAGCTTGCCCCCAGTCATGCCCAGTATGGGGGATGATGTGCAGGGTGTGTTCCCAGTCACTCTCAGATCCTCCCAGTATTAGTCCAGGCCCTCCCAGTATGATGCAAATATGGCCCCAGTGTGCTCCCAGTCCCTGCCAGAATAAACCAGTTTTGTTCTACATGGTTCACGTTGCTCTCCCCCTCACTTTCATTCCAGTCACTCCCAGCATGTCCCAGTGTACCTCAGTTCCCTCCAGCATCTTTCCAGTTCCTTCCAGTACGATGCCATTTGCTCCCAAGCACTCCCAGCCACCCTCAGTGTAGTGGCACTAACTGCCACTATGATCCCAGTTCATCCCAGTATAAGCCCAGCAGTTTCCAACCCCCCCAGCATGCACCCAGTCACTCCCAGCTCCTCCCAGTTGCTCCTAGCGTGTTCCCAGTTGCTCACAGCTGCTCCCAGTCACCCTCAGCATAATCCCAGTCACTCCCAATATATCCCATTTGCCCATAACAAGGTCTCAATTGCTCACCGCCGGCTCCTACTCAATCCCAGTATGATCCCATCATGATCCCAGTCTCCATCAGTGTGATCACAATCTGCCCTGGTATAGCAGCATGATCCCAGTATGATGTCCATACAAACCCAGTACCATCCCAGACACTCCAGTACGATCCCAGTATGATGTCAGTACAAAGCCAGTACAGCCCCAGTCACTCCCAGTACGATCCCAGCGCAGCCAAGTCCCTGGCAGTGCTGCCACTGCTGGGATCCCCCTGCCCTGTGTGCGTTCCCCCGCGGTGGATGTGCCGAGAGGCGCCCCAAGGGCTGGCAGTGGCCAGGCAGGGTCCCCAGCAAGGCCCAGTTTGGATGTGCAGCCCCCAGTTTGCCCAGTTTGCCTCTCCTTTGGCCCGGGCTGGGCTCCCCCCGCCCACAGCGGCTGGGAGCAGCCGAGAGCCCCGCGCGCTGCCCATCCCGACCTGTCCCGGCTCCATCCCCGCTTGTGCCGTGGGCTGCGAGAGCTGCGGGAACAGGGCAGCGAGGGTGTGGCTGCTGCTGGGGGAGGAGGAGGAGGGAGGGAAGGGCAGGGATGGAGCGGGAGGAGGAGGCGAGATAAGAGAGGAGGAGGGGGAAAGGGGTTGGAAGGGGCAGGATGGAAGAGGAGAAGGAGGTGGAGATAACACAGAGGAGCGGGAGGGGGGATGGAAGAGGAGGAGCGGGAGGAAGAGGAGGGGCAAAGGCGGATCAAGGCTGAGCTGAGGGAAGCACGCGGTCACTCCGAGCCAGGCCTGAATTCGCAGCCCCCACCTGTGGGATCATCGCCCCCCCGCATCACGCAGGTGAGCGGGGAGGGGGAGTTCGGCCCAGATATCCTGAGGGGTGCCTGGGTTGGGTTTTTGGGGGGATGTTTGGAGAATGAAGCAGTCCAAGGCTGAGCGGAAAAGGCCCCTCGGGGGGACATCGGGGGGTGCCGGTGGCGGCTGCCGGCAGAGGCAGCCTGGAGGAGCAGAGCCCTGTGTGCCCCAGGAGCCCAAAGTGGGGAGCCCAGAGAGGGGGGAACGCCGCCATTGGCGGGAGCCTCAAGAGCCTGGAGAGGGGCAGGGGGGACTCCTTGGAGCCGCTGCAGCCCAGAGCAGAGAATGAGGGGAGAAGGGAGCCCGGGAGCCCAAACAGCCCTGCATCCCGAAATGGGGAGAGCGAAGAGGGGGGAGCTTTTGGCATTGCTGGGACTGCCAGCAGCCTGGGCAGGGCGGGCACCGAGTAGACGGGGGACCCCCAGTCCAAGCGTGACCCCAGGAGTTGGGACATGGGGGAACCTCCCCGGGCACCTGCGGGATGGGGGGCGATGCTCTTGGGTTCCAGAGTTCAGGCAGCGCCGGAGCCGCTCGATTCCGGCCGTCCTGTGCTCCCGCCGCTTCCTGCTGCCGCTCCGCCTCTTCCTCCCTCCCTCCTCATCCTCCCCCGGTTCCGGAGTCCTCGAAGCCGGCGGAAGGAGCGGGGATGGAGCCGGGATAGGTCGGAACGGAGCGAGGGCTGGGGGGGATGGCAGCAGTGGGAGTGACTGGGCTGTACTGGGATCATCCTGGGAGCAGCTCGCGGGTGACTGAGTTCTACTGGGACCGTACTGGGATCACACTGGGAGTGAGGAGGAGCAGCGCGATGGCTCCAGCGCTGGGGCTGGGGGCAATCCTGGGGCCCCGGGGGGCGGCGGGAGCTGAAGGGGACCCCCGGCACCGGGACTCTCTGATCTCCCATCCCGGAGCACCGGAGGTTCCTGAACCCCCATTCCTGGGCACCGGGATCACCCGCATCCCCATTCCCGGGCATGGGATCCACCCTGCACCCCCTGATCCGGCACCAACAACCCCCGCACCCCCACTCCCGGGCATGGGATCCACCCTGCACCCCCTCATCTGACACCAACAACCCCCGCACCCCCACTCCCGGGCAGGGGATCCACCCCGCACCCCCTTCCCGGCCATCTCGCCTCTCCCAGCCCCTAGAGCCCCCTTTTCCTTCCCGCAGAGACCCCCTGGACCCCAGTTCCTGCCTTTCCCAGCCCCCAGCCCCTCCTTTCCTTCACACCGAGGACACCTGGGACCCTTATTCCCGGCCATCCCGGGTTTTCCCACCTTTTGCTGGGAATGGGAACACCTGGGCTCCTTGGAGCTCCCTTTCCTGCATGCACGAACCCCCTTAGCCCAGCCCGTGCCCCCTCTACCCACCGCAGCCTCCCCTTTTCTCAGTCCTGGAACCCCCAAACCCCGTTCCCTGCTCTCCCAGCTCTCCCTTTGGTTCCTCCTTTGGTTCCCCCGTGCCCCCCCGCCCCCAAATCTCGGTGTCTCCCCAGTTCTCTTGTCCCAGCGTTCCCTGCCCGTGGCGCTGTCGGAGCCCGGCCCGGGGTTCCCCCGGTTGGTGTCCATGGGGTCCCTGGCTGGGATCCCCTTCCAGCGGGATCTCGGCACAGCCAGAACCGGCACCACGAGCGGCACCGGCACGGGGCCACCGGGGAGCTGCCACTGCTGCAGCTGCATCCTGCCATTCCCAGCTGCTCCCAGTTGCTCCCAGTGGCTGCGCAGTCGGCTCCCAGCATGCGCCTGGCAGCTCCCAGCACCCCCCAGATAGGGACCAATCACACCCCCTGCAATCCCAGTCCGATTGTAGCTACTCCCAGTATGATCCCAGTCACTCCCAGTATGATCCCAGTCAGTCCCAGTATGATCCCAGTTACTCCCAGTATGATCCCAGTCACTTGCAGTGTAACTCCACTCACTCCCAGTCTGATGCCAGTGGCCCCCAGTGTGATCCCAGTTTCTCCCTGTCAATGCCAGCATGACCCCAGGAGCTTCCAGTATAATCCCAGTGATTCCCAGTCTCTCCCAGTATATCCCAGTTCCTCCCAGCATGCTTCCAGTCACTCCCAGTTCCCCTCAGTTGCTTTCAGCATGATTCCAGTTGCTCACAGCCATTCCCAGTCAATCCCTGTATGACTCCAGTCACCCTCAGTGTGATCCCAGTCTCACCCAGCATGGATCCAACTGCTCCCACTGTCAAACCAGTATGATCCTAGTTGCTGCCAGAGTAGTTCCAGTTGTTCCCAGTTCCTCGCAGCATGGTTCCAGTTGTCCCTAGAATAGTCCCAGTCCCGCTCACCGAGGTCCAACTCACTCCCAGTTGCCCCCAGCATGGTCCCAGCTGTTCCCTGTGTGCTTCCAGTCCCCCCAGTATGGTCACAGACAGTCTCAGCTTATCCCAGTTGGCCTGGTACAGTTCTAGTTAGATCAGAATGATCCCAGTCTTTTCCAGTTCCTCCCAGTTGCCTCCAGGATGATCCCAGTTTCTAGCAGTTGCCCAAAGTGTGATCCCAGTGGCTTCCAGGGTGACCCCAGCAGGAGCAGTAGTCACTCCCAGTATGGTTCCACTCGCTTCTTGGATGATCCCAGTCACTCCCAGTATTATGCCAGTGGCCCCCATTATGATCCCAGTTGCTCCCTGTCAATGCCAGCATGACCCCAGGAGGCTCCAGTATGATCCCAGTGATTCCCAGTCTCCCCCAGTATATCCCAGTCAGCCCCAGCATGCTCCCAGTCACTCCCAGTTCCCCCCAGTTGCTTTCAGCATGATCCCAGTTGCTCACAGCCACTCCCAGTCACTCCCAGTATGGTTCCAGTCACCCCCAGTATGACCCCAGTCAGTCCCAGATACTCCCAGCGTTATTGCAGTCATGCTCAGAGTGACTCCCTGGCACTCCCAGTGTGGGCCCAGTTGCTCCCAGTCACTTCCAGTATGGTTCTAGTCAGAACCAGCGCCTTCCCAGTCACTCCCAGTATGATCCCAGCCATTTTCCATAGGATCCCAGTAGGATCCCAGCATGGGCACAGCTGCTCCCATGATCATCCAGTGTGGCTCCAGTTGCTGCCATTTACCACCTTTGTGGTTTCAGTCTCTCCCAGTGTATCCCAGTTGCTCCCAGCATGTTCCCAGTCATTCCCAGCTGCCCTGAGTAGCTTCCAGCCTGATGCCAGTTGCTAACAGCCACTCCCAGTCACCCTCAGTGCAGTCCCAGTTGCTGCCAGTATGATCCAGTATGATGCCAGTCACTCCCAGCATTGGCCAGCTCCTCCTACTGTGATCCCAGTAGGATCCCAGTAGCCCCCAGCAAGGTTCCACTCACTCCCTGTTCCTCCCAGTGTGATCCCAGTTGTCCCAGTATAGTGCCAGGTACTCCATAGATGATCCCAGTCCCTGCCAGCATGGTCCCAGTCATGCCCAGTTGTCCCCAGTGTACATCCAGTCATTCCCACTCGCTCCCAGGTACCCCCAGCATGGTGTCCCAGTTCTCCCCAGCATGGTCCCACCTATTCCCAATGTGGTTCCAGTCACCCGAGGATGGTTAACAGACACTCCTGGTATATCCCAGTGTCTCTCAGCATGCTCACAGTCATTCCCAGTTACCCCAGTGCAGCCCAGTCCACCCCAGTCCCTGGCGGTGCTGCCACTGCTGGGATCCCCCAGCCCTGTGTGCGTTCCCCCCTGGCGGATGTGCCGAGAGGAGCCCCAAGGGCTGGCAGTGGCCAGGCAGGGTCCCCAGCAAGGCCCAGTTTGGATGTGCAGCCCCCAGTTTGCCCAGTTTGCCTCTCCTTTGGCCCGGGCTGGGCTCCCCCCGCCCGCAGCGGCTGGGAGCAGCCGAGAGCCCCGCGCTGCCCATCCCGACCTGTCCCGGCTCCATCCCCGCTCCTGCCGCGGGCTGCGAGGGCTGCGGGAATGGGCAGCGAGGGTGTGGCTGCTGCTGGGGGAGGAGGAGGAGGGAGGGAAGGGCAGGGATGAAGGGGGAGGAGGAGGAGGAGAAGGAATGGAAGGGGCAGGATGGAAGAGGAGAAGGAGGTGGGTATAACACAGAGGAGCTCGAGGAGGGATGGAAGGGGAGGAGAAAGAGGAGGGAAGGAGGCGGGGTTACAGGGGAGGAGGAGAGGGAGGAGGGATGGAGGAGGAGAAGGAGGTGGGGATAAGACAGAGGAGGAGCGGGAGGAAGAGGCGGGACAAAGGCTGATCAAGGCTGAACAGATGGAACCGCGCTGCAGCCCTGCCTGAATTGGCAGCCCCCACCTGTGGGATCATCGCCCCCCCCCCCCCCGCGCCCGTCGTGCCGGTTAGCGGGGAGGGGGAGCCCGGCCCAGACATCCCGAGGAGTCCCTGGGTGGGGTTTTTGGGGGGATGTTTGGAGAATGAAGCAGTCCAAGGCTGAGCGGAAAAGGCCCCTCGGGGGGACATCAGGGGTTGCCGGTGGCGGCTGCCGGCAGAGGCAGCCTGGAGGAGCAGAGCCCTGTGTCCCCCAGGAGCCCAAAGTGGGGAGCCCAGAGAGGGGGGAGCGCCGCCATTGGCGGGAGCCTCAAGAGCCTGGAGAGGGGCAGGGGGGACTCCTTGGAGCCGCTGCAGCCCAGAGCAGAGAATGAGGGGAGAAGGGAGCCCAGGAGCCCAAACAGCCCTGCATCCCGAAATGGGGAGAGCCAAGAGGGGGGAGCTTTTGGCATTGCTGGGACTGCCAGCAGCCTGGGCAGGGCAGGCACCAAGGAGAAGGGGCACCCCCAATCCAAACATGACCCCAGCAGCTGGGACAGGGGGGAACCCCGAACACCAGAGGGGAGGGACCAGGGACAGGGAACTCCTGGGAGGCTTTTCCAGGGCTGGATCTTGGTGTTTGGGAGGTTTTTATGGAGCCCACGTGGCCAGTGACTTGTAGAGATGGACTCGGGCAGAGGGACATTCAAACTGAACATGTGTTGGGCAAGATGAAACAGGGAAGCCTCATAAATATGATTGGCAAAAGAATTTGAGAATATTGAAACTCTAAGCAAGATTGAGATGGAAGCAAGCTTTGAGATACCTTAGTGAACAACTGGAAAACAATGGTGTGGCCTGGCTGAAGGTAATCCCCTTTTGTTGAAACAATTCCCTCTGCGTGCAGACAGACCCAGGGGTCAGAGCAGACCCTAATAGCTCAGCAGAAGGGGTCCAAAGCGGTGTGTTTAGGGTTTAAAATGTAGCACAGTATCATGATGTAATGATTCTTACAGGCTGTATGTAAATGCTCTAGGATTTGTATCTTGTACTAGATTGGTTAGTGAGAAATAGAATATTCAACAGAGAAGAAGATTTGTTGTATTGTAACGGGAAGCTTACTCTCTTACGCTCTTCCCCTCTTACTCTCTCACCCTCTCATCCTCTCTACCCCGCTCTTCTCTCGGGCCTGCTCCGAGCTGTGGCTGGCAGCTCCAAGCAGGGCCCTGCACCCAGGCCCTTTGCAATAAACCGCAACTTCCACGCCCTGGCTGCAGAGATCTCTCGTCTCCATCCGTCCCGACCGTCCTACCCCTCAACACTCCTACAAATGTGCTCATCCCTTGTTTTCCCCAAACCAGGATTTCCCATTGCCAACCCCTGGGATGCTGCGAGGAAGAGGGAGATGCCCCGGGACACTGAGGCAGGTGAGGAGGAAGTCAGTGCCCCTTTCCCATCTGTGCTGCTCCATCTCCAGCCCAGCACGGCCCCGGCTGCAGCTCAGCCCTGGGGGATCTCCTTGCCCTTGCCTGTGGCACGGAGGCAAATCCCATCCTGTCCTTGTCCTTCCTCCCCCAGAGCAGGAGCTGAGCATGGAGCACAGGGAGGACAAATGCCCGCGGCAGAACCTGGTGGAAGAGGCCGTTTTGAGCGGCTCCACGGCGCAGGAAGCCAACGGGGAGGAAAAGCCCTGGAGATGCCGCACGAGGAGGGGCTGCAAACGCAGCTGGCGGGGATCTGAGGGGGAAAGAGCCAGCCTGGGCCGGGAAGGCGGCCGGAGATGGAGCCAGAGCTCGGAGCTGGTACTCCATGAGCGGCTCCATGATGGGAAGAAGCCCCATACGTGCGTGGAGTGTGGAAAGAACTTCAGGTGGAACTGCGACCTGATTGTGCACCAGAGGACCCACACTGGGGAGAAGCCCTATGAGTGTGGGGAGTGTGGGAAGAGCTTCAGGTGGAGCTCCAACCTGATCAAGCACCAGAGAATCCACACTGGGGAGAAGCCCTATGAGTGTGGGGAGTGTGGGAAGAGCTTCTGTGGGAGCTCCAGCCTGATCAAACACCAGAGGATCCACACTGGAGAACGGCCCTTCGAGTGTGGGGAGTGTGGACAGAGCTTCAGCCAGCGCTCCCACCTGATCTCGCACCAGAGGACCCACACTGGGGAGAGGCCCTACAAGTGTTCCAAGTGTGGGAAGGGGTTTCAGACCAGCTCCCATCTCGTCCGGCACTATCAGAGTCACACAGAGGAGAGGCCCTTCCACTGCCCCGACTGTGGGAAGGGATTCAGGTGGAACTCCACCCTTGTCAGGCACAGGCGCATCCACACTGGGGAGAAGCCCTACGAGTGTGATAAATGCAGGAAGAGGTTTCAGACCAGCTCCCATCTCCTCCAGCACTATCGCATTCACACAGAGGAGAGGCCCTTCCGCTGCCCCGAGTGCGGGAAGGGATTCAAGCACAACTCCACCCTCGTCAAGCACCGGCGCATCCACACTGGGGAGAGGCCCTACGGGTGTCCCCAGTGTGGGAAGAGCTTCTCCAGCAGCTCTGACTTGACCCGACACCAACGGAGGCACCGGTAAGGGAAGCCCTGCAAGTGCCCTGAGTGCGGGAAGAGCTTCGTGCGCTGCTCCAGCTCCATCCCCCACTGGAGAAGGCACTCTGGGCAAAGCCCTGGTCACTCCCATTCCTTGTGATCCATGTTGGTAACACACCTGGCAGCTTTTACTTTTGTTTTGGCCCTAATGTTTCTAGCTTCTCTATCTCTTTGCACTTGAAAAGTCAAGAGAGATGGATCTGTCACCTGAAAACCACTGAAATCCCAGTGAAAACAACTCGATCTTACCCAAAAGGGCTCAATCCCACCTCAAAAAAACTCAGTGCCGTACCAAACTCACTTGATTCCTCAGCCACCTAAGTAAGATGGGGCTGGGAGGAGATTGGGAGAAGTGGGATCTCAGTTAGAGCGGTGGGATGAGGATTGTGTGGAGCTGGGTCTGTGGGATGCATTTGATAGCAAATAAAATTTTCAGACTTACTGATTTCTCTCCCGTTCATGTTCAGTCCGTTGCAGTTCTGTTTGCAGAGTGCCGCCTTCTCAGCTCATTGTGTTTGTGTCCCCTTTTCTCTCCTGCCTCTCTTTGCCTGCTTTGTTTCTCTCTCAGTGTCTCTCTTGACCCAGGGACCACCATAGATCCTCCCCTGATTTAATTGACCCAG